AGATCTTCACCCTGAAATCTACAGCATCCCTTTTTCAGCAGGAAGTAGCTAAGAGAATATGCCATCCCATTTTCCTTATGAATCAGGGTGAAGTCTCTCTCAGGGAGGAGAAATAGGGAATGGCAAAGGACACACTGACAAAGGAGATGAATCAGAACTGGCTTTGACAAGCACTGTGGCAACTGAACAATTAAAACAGACTTTCAAGGGGGAAAAAAAGAAGAATGAACTGGGGAGGAGGGTAGAGAAAATAGTACAACAACGAATGAATGAAAACCCAAAATATCTGTAAATGTTGATTAGAATTAATAAAATTTAATAATTTTTTTAAAACAAGACAGAGGCTCCTGGAACTCATACATACTAGGATGCAAAACAGAAAATATGTACATTATGTGGTCTTCAGATTACAAATATCTTACATATGGTCAAGTCTTGTTTGTCCTTTAACCTTAGGTAAAATTTCCCAAACAGAAAATATGTACATTATGCGGTCTTCAGATTACAAATATCTTACATATGGTCAAGTCTTGTTTGTCCTTTAACCTTAGGTAAAATTTCCCTCTCTCCACAACAGTGGAATCAAATATCCCCTGAGACTTTTCTTGCACTAAAGGAAGTTTAAAAAATCTATGTACACGCTTTTTCCAATTTATCTACAAATTCAACTTAAAGATACACATGGAAGTAGAAACGAATCTCATTTCTAGCCAGTAGAGATTTACCTATGAATTTACAAATATTCTACATTAAAATATTTCTGGGTTCTGTCTTATGATCTGCAATTTAAATGAAAATAAATGTTTTAGGAATGTTTTCAATTCATACAAAAACTCTAGAATCTCAACTAGTTATTCAGAAATCACAAAAGAAGATGAAAGATACCAAGTCCCTACATTAAAAAAAAAATCAGCCAATGCTTAACCACTTCCTAACTTATCATATGATCAAAACCCAATGGTACTGGAAGAAGGCTAAGGTGCACTGAAAGCACTGCTTTCAGAAGTGAGGTGTTTCAGGGAACAAATGCAGACCTGGATGTGTTCAAGACAGCTACCTGGTAACCCAGTGAAAGAAATTAATTAATATTTGTGCCATTTCAAATAAACGGTGCATAAGAGAATGTAAGGAGCACTGGTGGCAAGAAGCTGCACGTAGCCGCTCCAAGGGAGAAGGATGGACAATCTCCACGCCCTGCCCCCCACCCTGTGCTATTAACTGCCTCTGAAAACCCACCGGAGGCTCAACTATGGGTCGGTTCTGATTCTACTGTACACAACAACAACAACCAGGCACACTTGCTTACACCAGATCAAGGTGTTTCTGAGTACTAGAGTATATCTACATATATTGCTCATATTTATTTCCACTATAACGCTCTCATATTATTTATATATTCATGTGTGGCAGAAATGCATACACTTTAATAGTAAGATAACAGTATAACAACAATCATTTCATTATGAGTTTGTACAATGGATTTAGTAGGTGGGTTAATTCTAAAGCAAATAAAAAAACATCTGCAGGAGAGGGAGTGGAAGGAGACTAAAATACAATTACTTAGAATAAAAAACAGTAGCCAGTAACTATTCTTTACATTTTTAATTAACTTTCTGAAATTTGAAAGAACAGAGATACAGGATGAAAAATCTTCTTCACTGAAGTTTAAAAAACATTTTAATGAAGGTTTAAAAGTGAAACAAGAAGCATACAGTCATTTTGATAAACAGTACCACATCCAGCCAGAATTTTCAGCATGTTCTTTCTCCTCAGGCTAAAAAATAATGATAGAAGCAAAGTAGAAGGATCAGCTTTGTGCATTTTCCCAGAAATAAAATTAAAATGAATGGAAGAAATTGGGAAAGTGTCCCACCTAGTTGATAAATAAGACCAAATACCTTTGTGCTTGTCCCGTTTATGCTTTAGCTGTGCTGGATGGGATCTGAGTCTGGCTAGAGCCTGTTCTCGGTGGTTCATAAAAATAGGACCAGCAAATACAAGGGGGCCTGAGGAGAAACATTTGTATGTGCATAGAAAAGCTCACAAAATTAAAACACCACATTGAACAAAAACAATTCAGACTAAAAGCATGAAAAATTATTCTCAACTATTTTGGACATTTTTAACATTCTTTTACCAAATGCTCCAATTTCAATCCCTATACCCAAACAAAAAAATCTACTCATCATTCCACAACATAATACCATGACGTTTATGAAGAGAAATCATATTTTATGTTTATAAAACTACTCAAACAGCTTACCAGGAATTTCAACTTACATAAATCAAATTATCTTACAATTATTTCTTAATATCATAGTACTCTACGTAAACCACACATTCATTAAATCAAATATATTTCTTTGTTGAGAACAGACTGATGATGGTGAGGAGAGTCTTCTTCAAGTGACATTTTCAGAAATATTAATAGTTCTGTCATAAAATCATTTCTTTCAGAAGCTCCACTACATAGTATAGTTATACTATACTATTTCAATACATATTATTTAGATTAATGTAATGTTAAAAGAACATGTCTACTTAGAAACTTGATTTGAACAAAGCAAAATAAAACTTTTTTAAGGATTATTTAATTTAAAAATTGTTTTATTTTCTCATATAAGAGAGCTACATCTTACATCAAAGTTAGTTACATCAAAATTGTCTTCAACTTTTTAAAATATTTTCACTTAGCAGTTAAAAAGTTACAAATATTTGAAAAGGAGATATACATATAGATAGATAGATAGATATATGACACTGTCTAAACTCAGAGCATTTTTTTATAAAACAGTCTTATCCATGCTCCACTATTACATTCAGCTCCAATTATTTTTCTAAAGAAAGGACAAACTATAGCTAATACTCTGTAAGAAAATTTGATAAATGCCAAACTGAATGCTAAGTACATTCATTAAACAGAAATTACAAGTGGAAATGAGAAATATTACCAGTATGTCTCTTGATGTAAGTAAAGATGCAAATAGTTAATAATTATATGACAAATAAATACATATTTTATTATAATTACCAATAGAAACATTTTTATTTAATATTAAGAGAAAATGAATTAAATATTGTATATAATAATGCCAAATAAATTATTTTCAAGCTTAGATTAAATAAATTAAGCTTCATTATATACAAAAGGGAATGAAATGGAATATATTTCAAATAACCAAAATTCCCTATGTCCTCAACATGTTGTTTTTCATTTTGTTTACTAAAGCAC